AATAATGTTAAAATTATATCTGCACTATCAATAAGGATACAATTCTAGTTACATTATCAGCAAGAATCCAATTATATTTACTTTTTTATGAAGGATACACATATATTTACATTACTAATGTGGATATATTTATAGTTACATAATTAACAAGGATACACATATATTTACATTATTAATTAGGATACAAAAATATTTACATTTTAAATAAGGATACATTTTATGGTTACATTATTAATAATGATAAAAATTATATTTGCATTATCAATAAGGATACAATTATAGTTACATTATTAAAGAAGATACAATTGTATTTACATTATCAGTAAAGGATACAATTGTATTTATAATTAGGGCTTGAGAAATTCCTGTTGCCAGGTCGCCATGGCAACTAGAAATTGCGTCCTGGCACCTGGGTTCACACACTGCCTCCCATTGACTTCAATGCAAAATCACATCCTATTGACTTCAATGCAAAATCACGTCCCATTTACTTCAAAGCAAAAACGCCTCCTTATGACTTCAATGCATAATCGTGTCCCATTGCCTTCAATACAAAAATGCCTCCCATTGACTTCAATGTAAAATCTACTCCCATTGACTTCAATGCAAAAACACCTCCCATTGACTTCAATGCAAAAATGCCTCCCATTGACTTCAATGCAAAAATGACTCACATTGACTTCAATGCAAAACACCTCCCATTGACTTCAATGTAAAATTGCATCCCATTGACTTCAAAGCAAAGACACATATATTTACATTATGTAAAATATATCTGTAAATGTAAAATCGCATCCCATTGACTTCAAAGAAAAAACGCCTCCTTATGACTTCAGTGCATAATCGTATCCTATTGCCTTCAATGCAAAAATGGCTTCCATTGACTTCAATGCAAAAACACCTCCCATTGACTTCAATGTAAAATCGCCTCCCATTGCCTTTAATGCAAACACACCTCCCATTTCCTTCAATGCAAAAATGCCTCCCATTGACTTCAATAAAAAAACATCTCCCATTGACTTCAATGTAAAATTGTGTTCCATTGACTTCAAAGCAAAAACACATATATTTACATTGTGTAAAATATATGTGTAAATGTAAAATCGCATCCCATTGACTTCAAAGCAAAAATGCCTCCTTATGACTTCAATGCATAAACGTGTCCCATTGCCTTCAATGCAAAAATGCCTCCCATTGATTTCAATGCAAGAACACATCCCATTGACTTCAATGTAAAATCGCCTCCCATTAACTTCAATGCAAAAACACCTCCCATTGACTTCAATGCAAAAATTCCTCCTACTGCAAAAACGTCTGTCAATAGCAATGCTATGTGAAAACTTCTCGCCGCATGCCACTATTCTCTATCACTTGCGTATCTGGAACGCAGCGATGTATACTCACACAGGACCCTTTTTGTAATGGCACTCAAAACACGATGCGTGTGGATCACATCTTTGTGAACCACCTGAATAGAAACACATAATATCTAGCCTGTCATGCGAATCTGCATCCAAAGTCGCGTATGTGTGAACCAGGGCGGCTCCATCCACACCCGGGCGGTTTGGGACAGCGGCAGAATCGCTGTGATCGCAAAACGCAGGTTCGGATGCCATTATTTTCAATGTCACCTAAAACATGGTGTGGTATTGCAGTGATTGTCACGCGGTCAATCGCATCACATGAAGCTTGTCACCCAAAAGTCGCCTTGCCGCGACCACTGACAACCCTACAGCTACGCTAAAAAGAAAAAAACCCTGGCTCCAAACCAGGGGCGGACTGACAACTCATGGGGCCCCCGGCAATAGGGGAGCATGGGGCCCCTGTGTCCTTGCCCAAACTCAAAAAAAAAGCCTATGAAAAAGGTACCGGGGGCATCTCATGGGGCCCCCTACAGACCGCGGGCCCTCGGGCAGTGCCCGAGTTTCCAAATGGTCAGTCCACCCCTGCTCCAAAGTTTATTAGTCTGAGCAAATCGGTCAAGCCCTAATTTACATGATCAGTAAATATTTACATTATCAGTAAGGATACTCCCCCTATCTCTCCGTGCCTCCAGGCTTTATTTTACTGGGAAATCATTTTGAAAAACTCCCCCTGGCACTTTTGGCAGTGGCCATCTCGAGTCAGGGCAGATGATTTAATGTAACATTTACTTCCTGGAATCCATCTGCCCTTAGCTCAGGCACTGGCTGAGCTGAGAACCCTGCCTCCCCTCTTGAAGACTTCTGGGATGTATGACATCCTTTGAATAAAAATAAATAAACTTGCACCACAGAAAAATTATATACACTACAATCAAAATCTAAATGCTGCTGTTCAAGAAAGGAAAAAAAAACAATCAAATATAAATATAAACACTCCACAGCGCAAAATGACATCCTTTGCCTAGGCAGGAAACCAGGAAGTAATTGAAGAAATGTAGAAAAAAAAAGTTTAAAACAAGTAAATATCAGGGGTGGACTGACGACTCATGAGGCCCCCGGGCAATAGGGGATCATGGGGCGCCCGGGCAATAGGGGATCATGGGGCCCCCGGGCAATAGGGGATCATGGGGGCCCCTGTGTCCTTGCCCACACTCAAAAAAGCTTATGAAAAAGGTACCAGGGGCATCTCATGGGGCCCCCTATTGACCCGGGCCCTCGGGCAGTGCCCGAGTTTCCAAATGGTCAGTCCGCCCCTGGTAAATATGATATACTTTTCTGTTTACTGACTGAGGATTATAAATCGTCCGTGTTAATTGAGAGAGCAAAGTTCTGATTTAAATGAATAAAGATTCAATTATATTTACATTATCAATAAGGATACATTTATATTTCATTATTAATGAAGATTTTTTTTTATAATATTTTTTAATTTTTTTATATTATTATACAGGATAATACAATATATCGAGATACAATGATAATGACATTATCAGGAAGGATACAATTATATTTATATTATCAATTGTCTGGAATCAGTTTGTCAGTAAGACGATATCACAAACCGGCCGGTCTCACTTCTGCTGAACCCACAACAGTACAATCAGCCTGTAGATGCAGTAAACATGCTTGTTATACTCACCGTGGAGCCTAAGGGGTTAATCCTCTGCATTGTATTAAAAAGCTCCTGTCTTTTCTGCCCCCCTCTTGTTGAAATGACCACCGGATACAGACTGAATCCGTAGTCACATGCACATGCTCAGTTTTGTGTGTATTGCTAGAGAGGTTTTTTTTCTTGGGAGAGTGCATGTGATCAGCATAGAGCCAATCAGCACTGTCCAGACAGAGGTCAGGGGTTCTGCATCCTCCTAGATTAGAAAGAAAACTCCTCCTACAAGCTTTAACCTGTACTCTGCTGGACACTGACAGAAGTCACAAGACTGCTATATACAGCTAATGAGAAAAGGTATTTAGCAGTTTATATTTACTAAAATAATTGCATTTCCATGTTCTGTGTACTGTGGGGAGACCAGATATAGTGAATGCAGGTTCCGGGAGACCAAATATAGTGAATGCAGGGTCTGGGGAGAGCGGATATAGTGAATGCAGGGCCTGTGGAGACCAGATATAGTGAATGCGTGGGGGGTCCGGGGAGACAGGATATAGTGAATGCAGGGTCCGGGGAGACCAGGATATAGTGAATGCAGGGTCCGGGGAGACCGGATATAGTGAATGCAGGGTCGGGGAGACCAGGGTCCTGGGGAGATATAGTGAATGCGGGGTCAGGGGGGAGACCGAGATATAGTGAATGCAGGGTCCGGGGAGACCAGATATAGTGAATGATATAGTGAATGCAGGGTCCGGGGAGAGCGGATATAGTGAATGCAGGGTCGGGGGAGGATATAGTGAATGCAGGGTCCGGGGAGACCAGATATAGTGAATGCAGGGTCCGGGGAGACCAGATATAGTGAATGCAGGGTCCGGGGAGACCAGATATAGTGAATGCAGGGTCCGGGGAGACCAGATATAGTGAATGCAGGGTCCGGGGAGACCAGGATATAGTGAATGCAGGGTAGTGGGGAGACCGGATATAGTGAATGCAGGGTCCGGGGAGACCAGATATAGTGAATGCAGGGTCCGGGAGACCAGATATAGTGGGAGACCAGATATAGTGAATGCATGGCGGGGAGGGGTGAATGCAGGGTCCGGGGAGACCAGAATATATAGTGAATGCGGGGTCCGGGGAGACCAGATATAGTGAATGCATGGTCCGGGGAGACCAGATATAGTGAATGCAGGGTCCGGGGGAGACCAGATATAGTGAATGCAGGGTCCGGGGAGACCAGATATAGTGAATGTGGGGTCCGGGGAGACCAGATATAGTGAATGCAGGGTCCGGGGTAGACCAGATATAGTGAATGCAGGGTTCGGGGAGAGCGGATATAGTGAATGCAGGGTCCCGGGGAGAGCGGATATAGTGAATGCGGGGTCCGGGGAGAGCGGATATAGTGAATGCAGGTGTCGGAGAGACCAGATATAGTGAATGCAGGGTCCGGGGAGACCGGATATAGTGAATGCAGGGTCCGGGGAGACCAGATATAGTGAATGCAGGGTCTGTGGAGACCAGATATAGTGAATGCAGGGTCCGGGGTTTAGTAACACTTTAAGTTGTTCATAGACGGATCGGGTTAATGGTGTTCCCAGGTTTTTCTTTGGCGGGATTTGGCCAATTTAGCAGGGACTGGCAAATTTTGGTCGGTGTGTATGGCCAAAGTTACAGTGTTGTAGTCTGATCACTGAGGAGAGGAGACTGAGGAAATGCTTCTCCCTGCCTGCAGCAGACTGAATGCATAATGTAAGCCTAGGCAAAGTTGGTGGATGGCATTTTAATGGTAATAGGAGGACTGTTCCTGGATATCGGGACTCATCAGGAATTTATTTACACAGAAGTAAAGTGAAATCCCAGCTTTTATGTAATATCTCATTTTATAATTGCGAGCAGTTCTCTGTTTGAATGGTGACCTCAGCCAGGTACTGTATGTACTGTATATCTTTCAATGTTCTGTTTTTCCCATACAGGGCGCTGAAGAGAGGCTGCCGCTGCGTGGAGGTGGACACCTGGGACGGCCCCAACGGAGAACCCATTGTGTACCACGGGCACACTTTTACTTCCAAAATCCTCTTTCGTGACGTGGTGTCAGCCATCAACAAGTATGCATTCAGGGTGTGTAATAAAAAAGACATGACTTTGTATATGTTTTAGAAGAAAAAAGAAACAAAATAGTTTTGGAGGAACCAATCAGAATAAATATAGTGGAGGGTGGGGCTATATCTGCTCATTAACCCTAGGATCACACCTTATTTCCATCCCGACCAATGTTCTTTATTAAATATCTGACCTGGTACACTTTAATGACTGACTCGGGGTACACCACAAAATCTGGCTCAGGGCACTATATACGCAAAGGCCAGGTTTTGCTACTCTTGTGAATATCGAACATTTTGCTCACTGGTCAAGTAATCATGGAGCATCAATTTTCTGAGACAAGGCTGGATTTTGCCACCTGTGGGCCCCAGGCATTTCTCCTCACTGGGACAAATCTCATTCCTTCCCCAGATCCCAATGTGGCCAACACTGAGCACACCCCACCACCCCACATACACCATTCCCTCTCTGACTCTTACCCAGTCAGGCAGTGGACACTATAGGGTGGTGTGGTCAGTGAAAGTCTTGAAAAGCAGCCATTCTCAACTCGGGTTCCTCCAAAGGTTGATAGGTGTGTGGGCAAGTTGTTAAAGTAGCCACATAGGTGCTGCCCCGAAAAGGAGGGTTGGGGTTAATGGTGTTCCCAGGTTTTTCTTTGGTGGGATTTTTTGGGTCTGACTCACTGGTCCTGTACCTATAAAAAAAGACAGTGGTCCAGAGCCCAGGGCTTTTCCTCATGGAAACTAACATGGGTCCCATCTGTCCTCTTCTAATGTCACCGATGCCAGGGCATGGGGAGGACCTCCTGAGAAGGCCTTCTGCCATGTAGGGTGACTGCTGGAACCTGTAGTCTGTCCTGAAGACGCCAGCTACTGTACTCTGCCAAGCCATGGATACTCTAACATATGAACTTTGCCTTTACAGGTATGCCGGGGCAGCACACAAGCCTGAAATAGGGATTAGGGATGTTAGGGAAAAACTGTTTCACACTGTGGACTGTGTAATGTTCTGAACTATTTCAGTAAAGCTTGCAAACTTTGCGTTTTGCCTCGTCTAAAGTTACTAAAGGAGTGTAATGCAAGTAGCAAATGGTTACCATGGGTAACGGAAGACAACAGTCAGGCAAGCAGCCTGTCATTAACCGTGTACCTGTGACAGATGGGACAGCCTCTTGCAGTGAGGGAGTTGTTGTTTGCACTCCTTCTGCAGGGGTCTGTCTCCCTTAGCAATGGGAGTGGATCGGTACTATCCCATGCAGAGGTCAAGAGTAAGTCAAGTGCGCGCTACTGGGAGGTAGTGGAGAACACTGGACAGGTGGAAGTGGGCATAGGCTCAGCCTGTCCATCCTAAATGGAACAGATACAGTGAAGGTGTACATTGACACGGGGATGTGACAGTTAACTGGAGTACAGTTTATTGTTCCAGTGTACACGATGTATGGCCATCTCTAAGTTAGAGTCCCGCCTTACGGTTGAATGTTCCCTGATTGCTACCACTGCCATTGATGCTAACGGAATTGAGTACCCCATGTGTAAGGAGTATGACCCTGTTCAAGGTGCCTAGTGTAGCTATATGAACCCACCATGGGGGTAGTCCTCTTGTGTAACCCACACTTGGCACCCAATTAATTAATGGGGAACATAGAGGAAGGTCTACCACCTACCCTCTGCCTGCACGTGTTCCTTAACCTGTGACTGATTGACCTTTCACCTGATGGTGCCTGTCTAGTTTCAGATCCAACACCACTTGGCAGAGCTATATCATGACACCAGTCATCATTTTACCTGTCTAAGGATGGCATTCTGATCACCACTGTAAGGAGAACATTCTTCCCACTGGCCACCAATGTAAGGAACGTTCTTCCCACTGACCACCAATGTAGGGAATCCCACTGACCACCAATGTAAGGGACATTATTCCCACTTACCACCAATATAAGGAGCATTTTTCCAACTGACCACCAATGTAGGGAACATTCTTCTCACTGACCACCAATGTAAGGGACATTCTTCCCAATGACCACCAGTGTAGGGAGCATTCTTCCCACTGACTTTCAGTATAAGGGCCATTCTTCCCACTGGCCACCAATATAAGGAGCATTCTTCCCACTGATCACCAATGTAAGGGACATTCTTCCCACTAACCACTAATGTAAGGGGCATTCTTCACACCAGCCACCAACATAAGGAGCATTCTTCCCACTGACCACCAATGTAAGGGATATTCTTCCCACTGACCACCAATGTAAAGAACATTCTTTCCACTGACCACCAATGTAAGGGACATTCTTCCCACCGGCCACCAATATAAGGAGCATCCATCCAACTGACCACCAATGTAAGGAACATTCTTCCACTGATCACTGATCATCAATGTGAAGGAACATTCTTCCCATTGACCACCAATGAAGGGACATTCTTACCTTTGACCACCAATATAAGGAGTATTCTTCCAACTGGCCACCAATGTAAGGAACACAATGATCACCAATGTAAGGAACATTCTTCCCATTGACCACCAATGCAAGGAACATTCTTCCCTCAAATCCCAATTATTTCATTTTAGCTGGGGCTCCCAAAATGTGAAAGGAATGTCAAGGGTTCCTCTGGGGTAAAAAGAAAAAAGGAAAGGCTGTTTTAGAGCTTCAGCATGGATAGAAAGTGTCTAATAGTGGGACCCAGCTGCTGTTTTGGGAAAGTCTGCTCTTCAATGAGACACAGTGCTCTCATGAGATTAGTGCACATGGCATATACATGAGAGTGTGCCATTGATATCTAAGATTCTACCAGAAACGAAAGTATAAAAGATACCGACAGCTTTGTTCAAAAGAAGCACAGTATATAACAAAAAAGCACAATACAAAGTATCAAAAGTATAATGACTATTCCCATAGAATTCTCTATGCACCCAGAAGAAGTTCAAAAACCATAAAAATCAATGGAGGGAATGAGATAAGAAGTGCAATGTACAATCACCTATAACAGACCATTACAAATGATCTGTTACCTGATCTGACTTCACCAAATTGCATTCTGACTGCTTGCTATGGGTTACTGCTCTACTCACATTCCCGTTGCTCTGGATACTGTTGGAGTAAAAGTTGGGCATTCTAATGACAGGACACAATAATTAAACTTAGTTGCCTTTTATTTTTTGTTACTTTTTTGTTACTTTGTCCATTTTTACATTTCTTCCTCCTTTTTGGGTCCTAACACCTTTGGGGACGGAGGTACAATGTGTCCACCTGCCTAAGGTGGCCCAACACAAAGAGCTAGACACGCTTGAGGCATGGTACCCGGAAATTGATGGCATAGAGCCCTGAGCAAACAAAGAAGCTGACACTGGTTCTGACAGGTACACTTGAATGCCCGGCTCGTAATTGACTCTAGCTAGGTCACACTTAGTTGTTACAGGAGTCATGTCAGACCTCCTAGCTTCAGCCATGGGCAGCCTGAATGGGTGCCAACTAATCTGAGATAACGAGAGGATGGTGCCAGGCTTCCATGCCCCAGATGAAAGTGTCCATCAGTGTCACCACCGCTTATCAGATCAGCTTCAGCTCAGACGGAGGAAAGCCAATCTGTCCTCCCAATAAATATTACATGGCGGCTCAAAAAGTGATCTACAATTAATGAAGAGGTGGTGAAAAATAACCCCAGGAGGCCCGCCATGCACGGGTAACAGGACGGGATGGTGGCAGCGCTGGCACTCAAGGGGTTATGACGTTGTGTTTACTTAGGCATCCAAGTTTCCGGTCATTCTGTCCCTGGAGAACCACTGCAGTGTGGAACAGCAAGATACCATGGCACAACACCTGAAGAGCATTCTGGGAGAACAACTTGTGATGGGCACTCTGGATGGGCGGATCCCTACTCGCTTACCCTCCCCTGAGGTACCTAAACTTTTCCAATTATTTTATTCTTAATATTTTAATGTTTGATAGCATTTTGGTTTATCTGTGTTAAGTATTTGTACGAGTTCCAGGCAGATATAAAAGACAAATCCAGGGAACATCCGATCGCCTCTCAGGGGAAAGGTTTCTTCACAGTAAGAGCTGTGAGAATGTGGAATAGACTCCCTCAAGAGTTAGTTCTGGCCAGCTCAGTGTGTTGCTTTAAAAAAGTCCTGGATTCTTTCTTAGATACTGAATTTATTCTCTCTTGAGAAGAGGAGATTAAGGGGGATATGATCTCCTCTATAATACATAAGGGGGATATGATCACCATGTATAATACAATAAGAGGGGATATGATCTCCATGTATAATACATAAGGGGGATATGATCTGCATGTATAATACATAAGGGGGGATATGATCACCATGTATAATACATAAGGGGGGATATGATCTCCATGTATAATACATAAGGGGGGAATGGGGGGGATATGATCTCCATGTATAATACATAAGGGGGGGATATGATCTCCATGTATAATACATAAAGGGGATATGATCAACACGTATAATACATAAGGGGGGATATGATCTCCATGTATAATACATAAGGGGGATATGATCTCCATGTATAATACATAAGGGGGGGATATGATCACCATGTATAATACATAAGGGGGATATGATCTCCATGTATAATACATAAGGGGGATATGATCTCCATGTATAATACATAAGGGGGGGATATGATCACCATGTATAATACATAAGAGGGGATATGGTCTCCATGTATAATAAATAAGGGGGGGATATGATCTCCATGTATAATACATAAGGGGGATATGATCTCCATGTATAATACATAAGGGGGGGATATGATCACCATGTATAATACATAAGGGGGGGATATGATCACCATGTATAATACATAAGGGGGATATGATCTCCATGTATAATACATAAGGGGGGATATGATCTCCATGTATAATACATAAGGGGGGATATATCTCCATGTATAATAAGGGGGGGATATGATCTCCATGTATAATACATAAAGGGGATATGATGTATAATACATAAGGGGGGGATATGATCTCCATGTATAATACATAAGGGGGATATGATCTCCATGTATAATACATAAGGGGGGATATGATCACCATGTATAATACATAAGGGGGATATGATCTCCATGTATAATACATAAGGGGGATATGATCTCCATGTATAATACATAAGGGGGGGATATGATCACCATGTATAATACATAAGAGGGATATGGTCTCCATGTATAATAAATAAGGGGGGGATATGATCTATATAATACATAAGGGGGATATGATCTCCATGTATAATACATAAGGGGGGATATGATCTCCATGTATAATACATAAGGGGGGATATGATCTCCATGTATAATACATAAGGGGGATATGATCTCCATGTATAATACATAAGGGGGATATGATCTCCATGTTTAATACATAAGGGGGATATGATCTCCATGTATAATACATAAGGGGGATATGATCTCCATGTATAATACATATATGGGGGGATATGATCTCCATGTATAATACATAAGGGGGGGATATGATCACCATGTATAATACATAAGGGGGGGATATGATCACCATGTATAATACATAAGGGGGGATGTGATCTCCATGTATAATACATAAGGGGGGATATGATCTCCATGTATAATACATAAGGGGGATATGATCACCATATATAATACATAAGGGGGATATGATCACCATGTATAATACATAAGGGGGATATGATCTCCATGTATAATACATAAGGGGGGGATATGATCTCCATGTATAATACATAAGGGGGGATATGATCACCATGTATAATACATAAGGGGGGATATGATCTCCATGTATAATACATAAGGGGGATATGATCTCCATGTATAATACATAAGGGGGATATGATCTCCATGTATAATACATAAGGGGGGATATGATCTCCATGTATAAATACATCAGTGGTTCATATAGTGAACTCGGTGTACAGTTATTCCCCCTGAGGTCATCACAGAGGACAAGGGGGCGCTCTTTACATCTGGAGGAAAAGAAATTTAATCTCCAAACACAGAAAGGTTTCTTCACAGTGAGAGCTGTGAGAATGTGGAATAGACTCCCTCAAGAGTTGGTTGTGGCCAGCTCAGTGGATTGCTGTAGGAAAGTCCTGGATTCTTTCTTGGATACACAGAATATAACTGGATATATCATTTATAGGTAAAGTTGATCCAGGGAATATCCGATTGCCTCTCGGGGGATCAGGAAGGAATTTGTTCCCCTGCAGGAGCAAATTGGATCATGCTTTGCTGGGTTTTTTTTTTTTTTCCTTCCTCTGGATCAGCTGTAGGAATAGGATTATAACTTGTTTTTTTCTTTTTTATGGTTAAACTGGATGGACTTTTGTCTTTTTTCAGCCAGACTAACTATGTAACAAAAATGAATGCAACTCTGTAACCAAATAATACAACCTTAAGCTCGGGTTCACACTAATGCGATGCAGTATATCGCATGTGATTTGTGTGCAGTGCAATTGGAGCCGTACATTTTGTATGGCTCTAATCGCACCGCACCAAAAATGTGCAGGATCCTTTTTTTGGTCCGCACTGTAGTCACACCTATGTGACCCGATTCTGCACATCGCACTGCGTTCTGCAGACCGCTTTCGGGGTGTTGTTAACTTAACATACACACCCGCAGCGGTTTGCATGAACGGGGTGCGATTCTGATGCGGTGCGGAATTCACACAGAAAACGCTGCAAATTCCACACAGTATCAGTGTAAACCTGGGCTTAATGCATTTTTAAAACCTGTAAAATCCTAGAAAGAAAATCTATTGAAAATAAATGTTTTTTTTTAATGCAAGCAGTGCAAAAGGGCGGAACGTAAGAGGAAGAAGCTGCAGGAGGCACCTATCAGTTCATGTGCTGACAAGGCAGATAGGAAGAGAGAGCAGAGATATGAGCTTGGCAGCTGCTGCTTCTCCATTCACTGTCCAGTCTAACCCCTGGTTCATACCTGAGCATTTTCTGCAGCGTTTTGCAGAAACGCAGTACAGTCCATTTAACATGATTTTCTATGGGATGGGTTCACATCTCCACATTTTCACCCGGTGTATTTTTTGTAAAAGGTTAGGACTAGTAAAATGTTGCATTTTTGGTTCTATAGACTTCAATGGGAATGCTGCAGAAAAACATGTATTGAGTTTTTGCTGCATATTTGCTGCGTTATAAAATCTGCCTAGCAACAAGAAAAATAAAAAAAAATGAAAATAACCCAAAACGCATCAAAAACACGGCAAAAACACAAAACGCAATGCAGAAACGTACAAAATGCAACCTGCATAGGCGTGAACCTAGGCTATGGCTAAGGTTAGACTTGCATCTAAACTACCTTCCCTCTGAAAAGCGATCCGCATTCAGAATGCATTTCAGAGGTGTTTGACAGGCAGTGATGAGGAGCTATGATGCCAGTCCTCATGATCTGTTTTAACCCCGTAAAAGCTGCACCAACATTGTACCGCATTGCATTGCACGTGAATGAAAAATTAATTTGAATTTGAAATGGAAACATATTGCAATAAATACAGTAAGGTTTCAAACTGAAATAAGATGATGATTCCTACTTAAGCTGCTGAATAGAATAGAATAGAAAGGAATAGAATAAAATAGACAATAAAAGAATAGAATAGGATATAATTAGAGTAGAAAATAATAGAATGGAAAATAATAGAATAGAATGATGGGGGGGAATGAAACAGAATAGAAAATAAAGGAATAGAATAAAACAGAATAGAAAATAATAGAAAATAAAAGAATAGAATAAAAATAGAATAGAAAAAAGGCAAGTGTACAATGCAAACGTACACGTTCCTGCATTAAAAATGGCTGTGTGCAAAAGTGGGTGCTGCAGCGACCGTTGGCTGGAACCAAACAGAATCAGCCAGGGAGAATGTCACCAGCACACTCAGGATCACCAACAGTTTTAATGAATGATCACATAGTTACAGCAAGGCAACATTTCAGAGTCTCGCAGGACCCCTTCATCAGGCATGTGACCAAGAATAGAATAGAAAGAAACAGAAAAGAATAGAAAATAAAGAAGTAGAGTAGAATAAAACAGAATAGAATAGCATATAAAATAAAAGAAGAGAATAGAGTAAAATAGAAAAAAAAAAAAAAAAGAATAGAAAAAAAAATAGAATAGAACGAATATAGCCATCTTCCGAAATTCAAATTTTAAATCGATTCGAAAATAACTGATATATGAAATGTAACGAATCGAATATACAAAATGAATTCCCAAAATGAATCATTAATGTAATGAATATGACAAACAAAATTACTAACAAGACGGAACGAAACCCGTTTTTCCATCATGCGCATCTCTACTCCATAGAACTGTCACTTACACAAAACTTCCCTGTCACTCCAGGCGGCAGAACGCAGCGGCAGGGGAGTGAAAGGATGGGAAGTAAAGCACAGGTTCACCTTCAAATTCAATGTATCACTTTTTGATACATCTTGTCATTTTTTCAGTCTTGCTGAAATGTAAACACATACAGATATACTGTATATATATTCTTATTCCAATTCATTTTTTTTTCATTTAATTTAATTTTTTTTCAAAATAATTGGCCAAAGAATTTTGTATAGCTAACCTAAAAATTCTGACAATGAAACAAAGGAATTGAATACGTCTCGGCCAATTACATTCTATACTTTTATGCCATGCAGGTATAATACTTTTTTTCTTTTTCCTTTTTGCTTTGTCCAGGAGCTGCGTGGTAGAATCCTGCTGAAAGGGAAGAAGATTGGGAGTCTGGAGGAACAGCCTGAAGACTCTTACATCGGGGATGTGTCCGAGGAGGAGGACAGTGGAGGAACAGAGGAGGAGAACAGCCGAAATGAGGACAAGAGGACTCCAAAGGCACGTCCGACACTTACCAGAGCCTGTTGTTGTCACTCATCATCTCTGAACAATAAATGATTGAATTCAGGGGCGTCCCTAGGGTTGGTGTCACCCAGTGCGATCACACTTGGTGACACCCCCTCCAACGATCCCAGCAGGATGGATCAGATCTGCGGATTGAGCATAATGGATCGGAGTCTGGTCCATTACGCTCCGCAATCTACAGATCCGATCCATCCTGCGGGGATCGTCGTCTTGCTTTACAACTTACCTGTTCGTAGAGTGGGTCTGGTGTCACCTCGTATAGGTTGCATGCTGACAATCCCCACAGGATGGATCGGATCTGCAAACTGAGCATAATGGATCGGAGTCTGATCCATTATGCTCCCCAATCCACAGATCTGATCTATCCTGCGGGGATTGTCAGCATGCAACCTATACGAGGTGACACCAGACCCACTCTACGAACAGGTAAGTTGTAAAGCAAGACGACGATCCCCGCAGGATGGATCAGATCTGCGGATTGAGCATAATGGATCAGAGCCCGATCCATTATGCTCAATCCGCAGATCCGATCCATCCTGCGGGGATCATTGTCTTGCTTTACAATTTACCTTTTTGTGGAGCAGGTCCGGTGTCACCCCGTATAGGTTGCATGACGACAATCCCCGCAGGATGGATCGGATCTGCGGACTGAGCATTATGGATCGGAGTCTGATCCATTATGCTCCCCAATCCGCAGATCTATCCTGCGGGGATCGTCAGCATACAACCTATACGGGGTGACACCGGACCCGCTCCACGAAAAGGTAAATTGTAAAGCAAGCCGATGATCCCCACAGGATGGATCGGATCTGCAGATTGGGGAGCATAATGGATCGGACTCCAAATCCATTATGCTCAATCCGCAGATCCGATCCATCCTGCGGGGATCGTTGTCTTGCTTTACAACTTACCTTTTCATGGAGCGGGTCCGGTGTCACCCCGTATAGGTTGCATGCTGACGATCCCCACAGGATGGATCGGATCTGCGGATTGAGCATAATGGATCAGAGCCCGATACATTATGCTCAATCCGCAGATCCGATCCATCCTGTGGGGATTGTCGTCTTGCTTTACAACTTACCTTTTCGTGGAGCGGGTCCGGTGTCACCCCGTATATTTGCATCCTGACGATCCCAGCAGGATGGTTCAGATTTGCGGATTGAGCATAATGGATTGGAGTCCAATCCATTATGCTTCCAAATCCGCAGATCCGATCCATCCTGCAGGGATTGTCGGCATGCAACCTATACGGGGTGACACCGGACCCGCTCCACGAAAAGGTAAGTTGTAAAGCAAGCCAACGATCCCCGCAGGATGGATCGGATCTGCAGATTGAGGAGCGTAATGGATCGGACTCTGATCCATTATGCTCAATCCGCAGATCCGATCCATCCTGCGGGGATCGTTGGCTTGCTTTACAACTTACCTTTTCGTGAAGCAGGTCCGGTGTCACTCCGTGGGGTAGGTGTCACCCGGTGCGGCGCACACCCCCACACCTGCATAGGAATGCCACTGATTGAATTGCTTATACAGTATAGGTGCATATAGACATGTGCACGGTGCAAAGTCTTGTTTTGTTTTGGATGCATTCTTTAGGTTGATAATTTTGTTTGTTTGTTTTCGTTGTCTTTTGTCCTGCACGTTTTTGGGATTCGTTACGGTTCTTCGGCATTCAATTAATTTATTGGTTATACCGGGTGGATTCGAAAATGCACCCAGTATAACTTTGGATGGATTTTTTGAATAACTGTGGGGTGGCCGCCGCGTCCTTAACAACCATGACTCATCTGCTTTTGGTATGCTATTAATTTTGAGGGGAACCCCATGCCAAAATAAAAAAAATGGCATGGGGTCCCCCTCAAAATCCATACCAAACCCTTATCTGAGCATTGAGAAAAGAGAAAAAGGAGCTACTACCCATCTGGTGCTCATCTCAAGAGCTAGGCAAGTGCGTGATCCACAGTAGCCTATCTGTTCCAGAGATGAATAAAATCGATCCGCACTGCCGCCACCGCTCTAAAATCTTCATTTTATTAAATTGACCACAGTAAAAACATCACAGGTACAAAGACTGATGCGTTTTGGCGTAACAAGCCTTAGTCTTAACCTATAGGATAGGTTATGACTAAGGCTTGTTATGCCGAAATGCATCAGTCTTTGTAACCTTTGCCGAAACACGTCAACCTATCCTATGGGTTATCGACTGAGGTCAAATTATATTTTTTTTATGCCAAAACTCGTCAACCTTTGTGACCTTTGCCGAAATGCGTTAACATATCCTATAGGTTATGACTGAGGCTTGTTAAGCCGAAACAAGTCAACCTTTATGACCTTTACCGAAATGCGTCAACTTATCTTTTAGGTGATGACTAAGGCTTGTTAAGCCAAAACGCATCAACCTTTGTGACCTTTTACCGAAATGCGTCAACCTATTGTCACGGATCCAACCCACACGCACAAGCCCACAGCGACTATCTAACCGAGGCGTGCACTTCTAGCCATGACTTGGGTTAAGACGGAATAAGGAATATTTAACTTTGAATATATAAAACCGGCCATGATACACTTTCACAGCCCCGTGCTACCTTTGGCCACCACTAGAGGGAGACTCCACTCCAATCCAGCTGGCTGACCACACACACAGGCAGACACAAATTGTACATACAATCTGTGCACTAATTAGGGTTGAGGAGAAGCCTAGCGATCGACACACCCTTCTAGGATTCCACCAGCTGTCCTTCAAGCTAGAACCCCAGTGTTAATCACTCTTCCACTGTCCCACACACCCCCACACCAGACACACACCACAAACGGTAGCTTGCCACCCCCCAACAGTTTATCCACAGAACGGTCTGCTGGGATACCACACACACACAGATCTCCGTCTGGCAGACCTGTCACCCTTACAATCTGCACGCAATCTGCCAACACGCAGTGCAATTGCATACAGATTGGCAATGAACTTGACCGACCAATATAAAAGCACTAAAATACAATACAATCTAATCTCTCCGGAGATATGAGCCTGCTTAAGTACCCAGAAGTCACTTATTCATTTTAAGATTTAATATCCCGAAGGTGGGCAGTGCATAAAATATGTACAAAGTATAAAAAGTTACAGAAGATACAAAAAATACAAGAAGACATACATAGACTATTCACTATAAAATAAAAGGGAATAAAAAACAGAAATAAAACTTTTACCAAGCGTTTTCCTGCGACTGGAGCAAGTCAGAGAAAGTCCGCGATCCATAAAGGTGTCAATAGGACGGGCTCCGTACGAATCACCATATCCCAAATTGTCCTGCCATACCTCAAGTCCTCAATTTATGGGAACATGGACGTGGGCTGGACATTAGTATTTGGCCAGTCAACCCTGGGGGTGTTCCCGTACCAGCCAACAGGACATTCTGGGTGCTGAAATGCCCACAGTTGATTGGGCCAGGAACGGTTTGAATCACCAAGTCAGGGTTTGAATTTCTGACACCAGTGCATCAGTCCCGATCGCGACAGTACCAATCACTGTTCAGCTGCCGCAATCCGGCACCACATAACCATTTCCTGCATTTTCTGGCATTCTACATAGGCCACAAATACGGTTTTTACATGCAGATGTAGCCTACAGAGTGCCCAATCACAAGGAAGTATTTTCATCTCTCTGAAACTAATATTTTAACTTTTATGAGAGATGAAATCTATTCCTTTGATCTGTGTATATACTTTAAAGCTCCGCAGACAGATTGGAGCCGCCCTGGTCTCCTGCAGTCCGAAATGTCTGGCGTTCCTCTTTTAAACTTCAGGAAGGTGGCAAAGTCTGATTTTATATATATATATATATATTATATATATATAAAAATCTTATATATATATGGACAAATCTTCCAGCCTAGAAGCTGCTCTGTCTTTTCAGATGCTAATGGGTGAACACATGTCTCTGAATACCTATGACTGAATATTTCTTTAATGACAAGGAATGAAAATAAATTTTACAAATACATATTGCTACAGATCACATCTCAGTCCAATCCCACATCTACGGTACACCTATCTCCTATAGGTTATGACTGAGGTTTGTTAAGCCAAAATGCAAGCGCATGATTCACATGTAGCTTATCTGTTCTAGAGTTGAATAAATCGATCCGCACGGCCGCCACCGCTCTAAAATCTTCATTTTATTAAATTGACCACAGTAAAAACATCACAGGTACAAAGACTGATGCATTTCGGCTTAACAAGCCTTAGTTTTAACCTATAGGATAGGTTATGACTGAGGCTTGTTAAGCCGAAATGCGTCAACCTTTGTGACCTTTGCCGAAATGCCTCAATCTATCCTATAGGTTGTGACTAAGGCTTGTTAAGCTGAAACTCGTCAACCTTTGTACCTGTGATGTTTTTACTGTGGTCGATTTAATAAATTGAAGATTTTAGAGTGCCGGCCCTTAAATTGGGCACAGCAGGTGTTCAGATCTGGGAATTGCGAGTAGGTGCATTCTATTTTCTCCACTTTAGGTGGCGCTCGTCTGGAAGGGGAGCCAAAAGAAACCCCCTTTGAAGCCCGTTTAGGATTATGCTAACATTTTTATGTAAATGTGTGTATTTTTCTCTTTCCAGAAATCCAAAGAACGCCTCTCTCAGGCTTTATCTGACTGCATCATTTACTGTAAGAGCGTTCAGTTTGAGAGCTTCAAACACTCGAGAACCTATTACAAGCTGTATGAAATGTCTTCCTTCACCGAGTACAAGGCCAGGAAACTCGTCCGAGAGCCAGGTGAGGCAGATGGACAGAAGATGATGTCTTTTCCAACATGCGGAATACATGGAATCCCCAGAGCCTGACCTGCCACCGGGCAAATCTGGTCATTGCTGGGGTGGTTCCACATTTAGACATTTTGGCAAAATGCTTTGGGAAGATGAAATGGAAGCTTAACTCCAGCTTTACCTTTCTTTCTACACTCTTAGCAAGTCCTTTCCTGTGTTGAAATTGATTACTCTCGATCCCTTGCAACGTAACCCTTTGAAGCTACAGAAGCTGTCTTGTCTGCCTTCCTTTCCCGTCTGAAGGGCTTCAATCATGAATCAATCTCCTCTCCTTCTGATATGTACTGTCATTAGCCTGCCTATCACAGCTATAGGCTTTCCCCGTCATCAATCACTTTTGCACTTTGAGTGTTTAGGGTTGGTATCAGTCGTTGTATTGCTGTTCCCCAAGAATTCTGTGAAAGAACACATCCCTTTAGATGTGCATGCTAAGAGTGTAACCAAGCAACTGATCAGCAATCTACACAACCCAGTGCCCAGCAGGGAGGAGCATGCATGTCTAAAGGGATGCCAGGTACGTGTTCTTTCATATCATGCCCAAGGCAGGGTGCCGTGGCATTTATAGTAGTCTGACAGCCCCTCCCACCAAACTTAGTATGGAGGAAAGACCAGCAGGCAGACCTAGTGACTTTTTTTCATGCAGGAGCAAATTGGATCATGCTTTGCTTGGGGTTTTTTTTGTTCTAATGTTTTTGACTGCACTGCAATGGTGTGAGCTATGCCCATAGGATAGCCTGGATTTTGGGCTGTCTTTGAAGTTGGAGTGCAGTCAAAACAGCATCCAACTGCACCTGCTGTGAAAGGGCTCTTACCCCCGGTTCACATATATGCGGCCATGAGGGCCGTGTTTTTGCGCGGGCACATGAGCCCATTCATTTGAATGGACTCCCGTGCCCTGCACTTCTTCTGAAAATGCAGCCCAGTGCGGGCGGAATTAATGGCACCCGCCCGCGGGTCCGCATTCCCCCTGTGCGGGTGGTGCGGCTGCACGGATTTTCGTGCGGATCCGCAGTGGCACCACCCGCACAGATGTGAACCTAGCCTTAGGGCTCATTTATCTCAGTTGATAACATTTTCTAAACACACAGTACAAATGCATATTGAAGAAAAATGAATGCATTTCAATGAGCCTTATTAAACCATTGGGGCTCATTTATATTGGCACTTGCGGGCAGTAAAACCAGGCAGTTGAGGTATGTTTTTTTTTACCACCCCCACTTAGGCTGCAAAGGCAGTGGGATGGAGATGTACACATGCCATGGCTGTGATGAGTGCTTCATGGCCATGGCTAAAAAAAAAAAATCTCCCCTCCTGTTGCATTTGGGGAGCCGCACCTCTACCAAACGGGATTGAATAGGGCTGCACTGCAACTGCCCTGCGACCACGTGTAATGCCTGCATTTGCAGCGTGGCAGTGTATCACTTAAAGGGTTAAAATAGGCAGTGAGAAGGCGACATATTGTGGATACCTTTTCAGAGGGTCACCAAGGTCTACTTTATGTGTAAACTCAGACTTGTGGTGCTTTCATGTGCATTTAAGAAAAAGACAATGTGCTGTTCTACTAACAGTTATCCGACGGCTAGCTAACAAATCTGACAGAAGCAGCGTTGTGTTTCCTTCCAAAACTGAATTTACTTCCGTGAATAGTTCTGTAAAACTGCAATACAAGTACATAAACTGCAGTTACAATATGCTTGTACACACGTCTCTCCCAAATGCATACAATGAACACATTTCTTGAAAACAGCTACCTACAGATCACACTAATATATAAATGTAATCTGGATATATATGTGACTTTAAAGTGTCACTAAACCCACAACAGTATGTAGCACTGCCCCTTGGGACAAGCTGGAATATATTATGGGTCCTGCGCTCAATAGATCCAACCCTAAGCAAACCCAATCCCTCTGGCACAACTGGTAATGAATAGCAAATACACCGCCAAGAAATTTGCTGACACAGGGTTAAATGAAACAAGAACAATTTTATGGAGAATGAAATGCAGTGTAGAGGGGTGGGGTTCCCCTTTCAACTTCAAAACTTACTTTTCTTCTTTTATGCAATGCAGTAAATTTGGTCTGCCACTAGAGGGCTTCACAGCCAGAAATCTCCGGATGGCAGAGTCGCACTTTAAGCAAAATACAACTGATATCAAACAAATAAACTTACTTATACTCTATCAATGAAATGTATTACCCACACCGGGGTATGATTCTGCTTCTGAGGGGCGTTAGCCAAAATTCACCTCAGAGTCAGAACAGAACGCAATAAAGAGGTACCTCTAATAAGTCTACTAAGCCAGATTCCCCCAATTCAGTCCTTGTAACGGTGGAGCTCTAGTTGGTGCACGTTTAGTCCTTACAATGAAGTAAATAGCAGCTGAAGGCTTCTTTGGAGTTTCAGCTGGTGTGGGTTACATCAGATTTCACTAGGTTTCTGGGCTGAGAGGGTCCAACCTCAGTGTCTAAAAACAACACAAAGCACCCCAAGACCAGGGGCAGTCGCAGGATGCAATCTCCCAGTATGTGTCAGTCCCCGGGGCAGACAGTCTCAATTACACTGGTGGTGAGGGGCAAAGCAGGCAGAGGGATCTGTGGCTTGCACAGGGCCCCGGATGGGTGAGATCCCAGCAGTGGGGTGCGGATGTCCCAGTCTATATGCAAAGTGTAAATGGTGTGTCTTACTCTCTCCAGTGGGACAGCTCACCAGACTCTGAACACACACAGCAGGGTCCCTCTATCCACGCTGGGTGCTGTAGTGCCTCCTCCTCTGCTTGGACGGGCTCCACGTGTCCCTGTCTTTTCTCCAGCCTCGTGTCTCTCTCCTCTCCCCTTCACTTCCTCCTTCCTCCCCCCCCCCAGCGTCCTTTGCTGAGTGGATGAGTCATGAACTTGGCAGAATGCCCAGGTTTTACAAATAGGGGAGGGAGGCGAAGGACCTTCTGAACAAGGAGCCTGCTACACACTCCCCCCCACCAGAAAAGCTTTGGTCCTCCAAAGACAGCAGTAAGAGCAACCTAGTAATAACAAAGTGCAGCGCTGAGAAATTTGTGTGAAAAGCAAAATAGTCCGTGGTTATTAACTACATATAAATATATAGTCCCAAGAAAAAGCTGACGAAGACCAGGAAGCAATGGAAAGAGTGCGCACTCACCGGACGCGCATGGAAAATGCGCATAAATGAATATCTCCTGGAATCCTAGAGTAGATGGAGAGGGTGAATTCCAATATGTGGATCAGTCAGCCTGGGAAGATATATCAGACAGAAATCCGGAGGTCCCCTTAAGGTTGGTATGATTTACAGCCAGACTCCAACAGCTCCGTCCCTCTGGTGGTGATAGGTGAGTACAAGGTCTTGTTGCTTCCTCTCCTTTGTGGAGCTGCTAGTTCCAGTAGAAAATGCTCGGACATGAAGTTTCCCAGTGAATCTTAACAAGTACTACAATGAAACGTTGGACCCATTTACAAGCATTGCAGTCAGTCCAGAAGATGTACAGTTCCAATAACGAGGCGCATTGACATTCCGGCATTGCCAGGGTCCCTGTAGTACTCACCTATCACCACCAGAGGGACGGAGCTGTTGGAGTCTGGCTGTAAATCATACCAACCTTAAGGGGACCTCCGGATCTCTGATATATCTTCCCAGGCTGACTGATCCACATATTGGAATTCACCCTCTCCATCTACTCTAGGATTCCAGGAGATATTCATTTATGCGCATTTTCCATGCGCGTCCGGTGAGTGCGCACTCTTTCCATTGCTTCCTGGTCTTCGTCAGCTTTTTCTTGGGACTATATATTTATATGTAGTTAATAACCACGGACTATTTTGCTTTTCACACAAATTTCTCAGCGCTGCACTTTGTTATTACTATTCTGCTGTTTTACGGGTACACTGTGATTACCTCTAGTGCTAGCTGCTTGGTTAGGAGCGCTCACTTTATATCATCCTTATCCAGTAAGAGCAACCTGTTACATGCTTTTTATATACACGCGGAGAGAAAGCAAAGTTAGTACACACAAGAAATTAAATTATGCACACTTGCATAAGAATCTGGCAGAGGAACCTCCCACCATGTAGCAGAGTGAGGGTTGTCCTGCCCATAGGCCACACTAATGGGAATGGCCCAACCAGATGTGCTAGGGGGTGAGTTGAGGCTGTTCTCTACCGAAACTGCTGTAGGAAAACCAGGCATCACAAGAGTCCTTTGAGAAGCATGTACTACTTCTTCAGAGTTTTCACCTAACACATCATATGTCAGTCTTTTTGGGGGTTGAATAACTCTACGCTCTCTCTGTTCCCTGGGCTCTAGCAATGGTTCTGGTGTTGGTTTCTGACACTACTGACTCATCAAACCCTCGCTTCTTGCTCGACGCTCTCTGTCTCTCCCAGTTCAGCTTCCTCCACATCTTCTCTCCCCCATCAACAATGGACCCAGAGTCTTCAGGTTCTAACTCGGGTAGAGAAGGCTCAGGCTCTTGCAAATCTTCTGCAGGTTGCGCCTGAGGCACAAATTCAGGAGCCTCTGGCCTAAGAGGAACTACGTCAGTCACTCCAGTGGAAAAAGGAGTGCTGGGTTCGGAAATGTCCGATGGCCACAGCAAATCTGTCCCTACCTCCTCACTCTCACTGTCCTCTTCATTTGCAGGAGGTGGTGTGGGTTGAGACCTGGTCACAGGTCTAGTCCTCTGAGAAGTTGAGGGGGTAGACTGTGGATCAGATTGTGATGGTAGACGGACTGCATCTGACAAAGGCAAAAGGTGGTTGCGGTGCCAGGTTTTGAGTGGGCCAACACCCTTTTCTGGTCGAATCTGGTAAACTGGCAATCCAGGCAATTGTTTGCAGATGACATAGGGCTCTGATCGCCACCGATCCGCCAACTTGTGTTTTCCAGGGATACCCAGATTTCTCAGTAGGACTCTGTCTCCAGATTGTAAGTCCTGTACTCGCACTCTGAGATCAAAGTTCTCTTTGTTTCTCTGACCCCTGGCGTCTGAGGTGGCTTGAGCCTTCTCATAAGCAATCTTCAGGCTTTTCCTTAGGCGGTCCACATATCCTCTATGGGAAGCTGCAGAGGTATGGTCTACAGAGGTTCCAAAAGCCAAGTCTACTGGCAGTCGGGCTTCCCGGACGAGCCCCCACGTGTAGCACTGCCCCTTGGGACAAGCTGGAATATATTATGGGTCCTGCGCTCAATAGATCCAACCCTAAGCAAACCCAATCCCTCTGGCACAACTGGTAATGAATAGCAAATACACCGCCAAGAAATTTGCTGACACAGGGTTAAATGAAACAAGAACAATTTTATGGAGAATGAAATGCAGTGTAGAGGGGTGGGGTTCCCCTTTCAACTTCAAAACTTACTTTTCTTCTTTTATGCAATGCAGTAAATTTGGTCTGCCACTAGAGGGCTTCACAGCCAGAAATCTCCGGATGGCAGAGTCGCACTTTAAGCAAAATACAACTGATATCAAACAAATAAACTTACTTATGCTCTATCAATGAAATGTATTACGCACACCGGGGTATGATTCTGCTTCTGAGGGGCGTTAGCCAAAAATCACCTCAGAGTCAGAACAGAATGCAATAAAGAGGTACCTCTAATAAGGCTACTAAGCCAGATTCCCCCCCACTTCAGTCCTTGTAACGGTGGAGCTCTAGTTGGTGCACGTTTAGTCCTCCTTACAATGAAGTAAATAGCAGCTGAAGGCTTCTTTGGAGTTTCAGCTGGTGTGGGTTTACATCAGATTTCACTAGGTTTCTGGGCTGAGAGGGTCCAACCTCAGTGTCTAAAAACAACACAAAGCACCCCAAGACCAGGGGCAGTCGCAGGATGCAATCTCCCAGCATGTGTCAGTCCCCGGGGCAGACAGTCTCAATTACACTGGTGGTGAGGGACAAAGCAGGGCAGGGGGGGATCTGTGGCTTGCACAGGGCCCCGGACTGGGTGGGTGAGATCCCAGCAGTGGGGTGCGGATGTCCCAGTCTATATGCAAAGTGTAAATGGTGTGTCTTACTCTCTCCAGGGGGACAGCTCACCAGACTCTGAACACACAGCAGGGTCCCTCTATCCGCGCTGGGTGCTGTAGTGCCTCCTCCTCTGCTTGGATGGGCTCCACGTGTCCCTGTCTTTTCTCCAGCCTCGTGTCTCTCCCCTCTCCCCTTCACTTCCTGCTTCCTCCCCCCCCCCCCAGCGTCCTTTGCTGAGTGGATGAGTCATGAACTTGGCAGAATGCCCATGTTTTTACAAATAGGGGAGGGAGGCGAAGGACCTTCTGAATCCTCTTGTACAAGAAGCCTGCTACAAGTAAAATCAGTCTATATGTGCAGTAAAGCATGCTTGTTATACTCACTGTGGAACCTAAGGGGTTCATCCTCCGCATTGTGTAAAAAGGCTGATTGATCCTGTCTTTCTCTGATCCTCCTCTTCTTCTACTGTTCCCAAATCCAACTGTCATAGTTACAGAGAGCGGATATAGTGAATGCGGGGTCCGGGGAGACCAGATATAGTGAATACAGGGACCGGGGAGAGCGGATATAGTGAATGCAGGGTCCGGGGAGACCAGATATAGTGAATGCAGGGTCCGGGGAGACCAGATATAGTGAATGCAGGGTCCGGGGAGACCAGATATAGTGAATGCAGGGTCCGGAGAGACCAGATATAGTGAATACAGGGACCGGGGACCGGGGAGACCAGATATAGTGAATACAGGGACCGGGGAGACCAGATATAGTGAAATGCAGGGTCCGGGGAGAGCGGATGTAGTGAATGCAGGGTCCGGGGAGACCAGATATAGTGAATGCAGGGTCCGGGGAGAGCGGGGATATAGTGAATGCAGGGTCCGGGGAGACCGGATATAGTGAATGCAGGGTCCCGGGAGACCAAAATATAGTGAATGCAGGGTCTGGGAGACCAGATATAGTGAATGCAGGGTCTGGGGAGACCAGATATAGTGAATGCAGGGTCCGGGGAGAGCGGATATAGTGAATGCAGGGTCCGGGAGACCAGATATAGTGAATGCAGGGTCTGGGGAGACCAGATATAGTGAATGCAGGGGTCCGGGGAGAGCGGATATAGTGAATGCAGGGTCCGGGGGAGAGCGGATATAGTGAATGCAGGGTCCGGGGAGACCGGATATAGTGAATGCAGGGTCCGGGGAGACCAGATATAGTGAATGCAGGGTTCGGGGAGAACAGATATAGTGAATGCAGGGGGGGGTCCGGGGAGACCAGATATAGTGAATGCAGGGTCCGGGGAGACCAGATATAGTAAATGCAGGGTCCAGGGGAGACCAGATATAGTGAATGCAGGGTTCGGGGAGACCAGATATAGTGAATGCAGGGTGATCCGGGGAGATCAGATATAGTGAATGCAGGGTCCGGGGAGACCAGATATAGTAAATGCAGGGTCCCGGGGAGACCAGATATAGGTAATGCAGGGTCTGGGGGGAGACCAGATATAGTGAATGCAGGGGTCCGGGGAGAACAGATATAGTGAATGCAGGGTCCTGGAAGAAAAGATATAGTGAATGCAGGGTCCTGAAAGAAAAGATATAGTGAATGCAGGGTCCGGGGAGAGCAGATATAGTGAATGCTGCGTCCTGGTAGACCAGATAAAAAGTACTACTTTAGAAATCGGTGCGGCTCCGACTAAGGCGGAACGCGCACCGATGTGACCGCTGTAATTGTGGACAATAGGGTGTGACTTGGCATGTGATTTGCAAGTCGCAGGGCACGCAAATCGCATTCCAAGTCGCACCCAGTGAGACCAGGGTGTTACATTATTTTTATATGGGTAAAATGTTTTTTTTTTTTCTTTTTGTCTAATCCAGCTCTGTCTTATCTGATTGCATTAGGTAATGAGTTTGTCCGACATAACGCTTGGCAGCTGACGCGGATTTACCCCACTGGGCTCAGGACGGACTCTTCCAATTACAACCCGCAGGAAATGTGGAATGTTGGGTGCCAAATGGGTGAGGTTCATATTCCATCAGGAGATAAGAATTTTAACCACTCTCTGACCTTTCGCAGTACAATTACTGCGACAGGTCAACTCATACAGGAACAATCATGTACCTGTACGTCAGAATGTATGTGTGGACCCAGAAGACTGTGCTGTCATTGGCTGCAGCACAAGCCAATCAGCAGGTGCCAGCCAATGATTTATGGCTGGGATCCACTGATAGGATGAGTGAATGACAGGAGAGAGCCCTGTGTTGGTAAACAACACAGAGCTCCCTTCATACAGCAGCGATGTGCTTTTTTTTTTCTCCCTGCAAAGCAGGGAGTACAAACCGGCACATTGCTTAGTAAAGCAGCACTCAGTACACATGTATTAGTGTCACTGGGAATGTCAGTGGCAGTTAGTCAGTTCCCCTCAGCATCAGTTAGTATCAGATTGCCCACCACACTAGCGCAGTCCCGCTACAGGTTGCTGATCACCGCCACCATTACCAGTATTAAAAAAAAAACCTAAATAAATAAAAATTCCAGTATCTACAGTATACTATAGTTTGTAGATGCTATCATTTTCATGCAAACCAATCAAAATACACTTATTAGGATTTTTTGTACCTAGGACATGTAGCAGAATACATTTTGGCCACAATGTATGAAGAAATTTGATTTATTTAAATGTTTTTATTGGATATTTTTTTATAGCAAAAAGTAGAAAATATTGTTTTTTTTCTCAAAATGTGGGGTCTTGTTTTCATTTATATCCCAAAGAAGGAAAAAAACCCCAGCGGTGATCATGTACCACCAAAAGAAAGCTCTATTTGTGTGAAAAAAATGATATAAATTTTGTTTGCATACAGCATTGCAGAACCGCGCAATAGGCAGTTAAAGTAGCGCACAGTGCCAAAAACTGCCAAAAATTGCCTGGTCATGGGGGGTAAAACCTTCCAGAGCTAAAGAGCTTAATAATTTTTAATGCCCCCCCCCCCCCAAAAAAAAAAAAAGTATATAAAGCTTACCAGTCATTAGATGAGGTGGTTGCATTAGTTTTCTATTTTTGGCTCCTTTTCACCTGGTTAATATTTTAATGTTTGCACTGTGGGCAACCATTGCACTAGGACGCACATGTTTTGCATTGCAAAACTGGTGCAGGTACATTTTTCATTTTAAAAAATCTATACTGGACGGGGGAGCATTTCCCTACCAGGGGCGGACTTTTGGAAAATTGCCTGAGGGCCCGGGGTCAGTAGGGGGCCCCTATATGTCCCTGGTACCTTTTTCATAGGCTTTTTTGAGTTTGGGCAAGGACACAGGGGCCCCATGTTCCCCTATTGCCCGGGGGTCCCATGAGTTGTCAGTCCGCCCCTGTTCCCTACTCACCATCTGGCCAATTGATGAATCTAAAATATATAACCTTTTGGCCAAAATGTATGAAGAAATTTGATTTATTTAAATGTTTTTATTGGATATTTTTTATAGCAAAAAGTAGAAAATATTGTTTTTTTTTCTCAAAATGTTGGGTCTTTTTTTCATTTATATCCCAAAGAATGAAAAAGCCCAGCGGTGATCATGTACCACCAAAAGAAAGCTCTATTTGTGTGAAAAAAAAAATGATATAAATTTTGTTTGCATACAGCATTGCAGGACCGCGCAATAGGCAGTTAAAGTAGCACAGTGCCAAAAACTGCCAAAAATTGCCTGGTCATGAAGGGGGTAAAATCTTCAAGAGCTGAAGAGCTTAATAACTTTTAATGCCCCCCCCCCCCAAAAAAAAAAAGTAATATAAAGCCACTTACCAGTCATTAGATGAGGTGGTTGCATTAGTTTTCTATTTTTGGCTCCTTTTCACCTGGTTAATATTTTAATGTTTGCACTGTGGGCAACCAGTGCACTAGGACGCACATGTTTTGCATTGCAAAACTGGTGCCGGTACATTTTTCATTTTAAAAAATCTATACTGGACGGGGGAGCATTTCCCAACCAGGGGCGGACTGACCATTTGGAAACTCTGGCATTGCCTGAGGGCCCGGGGTCAGTAGGGGGCCCCTATGAGATATCCCTGGTACCTTTTTCATAGGCTTTTTTGAGTTTGGGCAAGGACACAGGGGCCCCATGTTCCCCTATTGCCCGGGGGCCCCATGAGTTGTCAGTCCGCCCCTGTTCCCTACTCACCATCTAGCCAATTGATGAATCTAAAATATATAACCTTTACTCAAATATATAAAAAATTTATTCTCAGCTGTAATTAATGCCTACTGGAGTGGAATGTACTGCGCACAATGTAACTAAATACCATTGCAATTATTTACCTTCCATCCAAATGGTTAAGAACACCAGACAAAATCAAATACAATACCGTTTTAGATGAAGTGACGGCATAAAAAGAGGCCCTGTAGTTTGATCATAAACCTATCAGCTTGAATATATAATCTCTATTAGGGCTCGTTCACACTAGGCTGTTTTGCCAACGCTTGCCAAACGCCCCTATAGCGTTTGGCAAGCGTTGGTCCGGTGTTTGCGGAGCGCTTTTAACGCTCGGCAAACGCTCCGCAAACGCCGCATGCGCGGTTTAGCGGAGGGTTGCTAGGCGTTTGCCGAGCGTTAATAACGCCCCACAAACGCCTATAATGCATTTGAGTGGTGTTACCGCTCCGCAAACGCCCCGCAACCGCGTCGCAACCGCACCGCAAACGCCGGCCGGGCGTTTGCGGAGCGGCACCATAGACGAGAATAGGAGGCTTCAAAGCCTCCTGACTCGACCAGAGGCGTCCGTTTTGCCGCGACGCAACGCGACGCGACGCAAACGCTCCTGTTAGAACAGCACCATGTGCTGTGATGTGCAGAGTTGGCAGAGGCGTTTGGGAAGCGGTAAAAACGCTTCCCAAACGCCTCTCTGCCGCCTGCACACAAGGCTAGTGTGAACGTAGCCTTAAGGACATGGAGTTACCCCGTGGACAAAAATAACTAATTAGATGGTATAATCTATCTTGCTACAGATATATAATATGGGTACACTCATCCATGGGCTTAAATCTCAGCTTCTCATGGATAAGCCCCATACATCACCATATCCACCAAAAATACCTCACTGTCTTGAGAAATGCAAATGATGTACTGTAAAACGCAGTACAGACCTCTCCAAAAAAAAAAAAAAAAGGGGGGAGAGGAGTAAATACCATGTGCATCCAAAAAGTGCTCCCAAAGAAAAAAATAAATTCTATGTTTCACTACACAAAACAGAGCTTCATCAGGAGTATAAAGAATTAAAATACTGTATATACTCGAGTATAAGCCGACCCGAATATAAGCCGAGGTACCTAATTTTACCACAAAAAACTGGGAAAAGCTATTGACTCGAGTATAAGCCGAGGGGGGAGGAATAGTGCCCCATCGTTGGTGTCAGTGGGGGGAGGAATAGTGCCCCATCGTTGGTGTCAGTGGGGGGAGGAATAGTGCCCCATCGTTGGTGTCAGTGGGGGGAGGAATAGTGCCCCATCATTGGTGTCAGTGTGGGAGGAATAGTGCCCCATCGTTGGTGTCAGTGGGGGGAGGAATAGTGCCCCATCGTTGGTGTCAGTGGGGGGAGGAATAGTGCCCCATCGTTGGTGTCAGTGGGGGGAGGAATAGTGCCCCATCATTGGTGTCAGTGTGGGAGGAATAGTGCCCCATCGTTGGTGTCAGTGGGGGGAGGAACAGTGCCCCATCGTGTCAGTGGGGGAGGAATCGTGCCCCATCGTTGGTGTCAGTGGGGGGAGGAATAGTGCCCCATCATTGGTGTCAGTGTGGGAGGAATAGTGCCCCATCATTGGTGTCAGTGGGGGGAATAGTGCCCCATCATTGGTGTCAGTGGGAGGAATAGTGCCCCATCATCGGTGTCAGTGGGAGGAATAGTGCCCCATCATTGGTGTCAGTGGGGGGAATAGTGCCCCATAATTGGTGTCAGTGGGGGGAATAGTGCCCCATCATTGGTGTGTCAGTGTGGGAGGAATAGTGCCCCATCGTTGGTGTTAGTGGGGGGGAGGAATACTGCCCCATCGTTGGTGTCAGAGGGGGGAGGAATCGTGCCCCATCATTGGTGTCAGTGGGGGGAGGAATAGTGCCCCATCGTTGGTGTCAGTGGGGGGAGGAATAGTGCCCCATCGTTGGTGTCAGTGGGGGGAGGAATAGTGCCCCATCGTTGGTGTCAGTGGGGGGAGGAATAGTGCCCCATAGTTGGTGTCAGTGGGGGGAGGAATAGTGCCCCATCGTTGGTGTCAGTGGGGGGAGGAATAGTGCCCCATCGTTGGTGTCAGTGGGGGGAGGAATAGTGCCCCATCGTTGGTGACCCCTGCTCCAGCCTGGGCTCACTCGCTCCCTCCCTCTCCCATGGTACACACTTACCGGTCAGATGTCTTCCTTCTCCGGCCGCTCTCCTCCTGTTCACTCGCTCGATCTTCGCGGTGCCGCTTGGCTCCTCCTCTCCAAGCTCCACCTCCTCGCCGGTGATTGGGCGCCTGTGTGCCTCTCCTGAGCTACAGTTCCGGCGGCCAATCACCGGCGAGGATTGATCCCGGGGGTGTGTCCAGATGACAGGGACGGCATGTCATCTGCAGACGTTGACTCGAGTATAAGCCGAGGGGGCCGTTTTTCAGCACAAAAAATGTGTTGAAAAACTCAGCTTATACTCGAGTATATACGGTAGGTCACATGGTGAATGGAAGTTGTGCTCAGCTGCACATGGTGGCAAAATGTCACCTATCATTTGTTTCACCTCTATATATAGAGATAGCCATTAAAATGGGCCCCATGCTCAGTTCCTCAACAGATATCATCTTGTAGACAAAAAACTGCACATTTTTCATTTTATTTGCAGTGTTTGCAGTCCATAAAAATTGTATGGGTTTCCTTACCATGAATGCGCAATTTACTTCACAATAATGGCTGTGCGGTAACACACGGTAGCATAGCGGAAAAGTATAAAGAGATCCCTAAGTGTATTTTTAATGTACTTTCCATGCCTCTACAGTCCTCCCTAAGCGTCACTACTTATGTTTCAAACACTCAATTAAGTTAAAAAAGCTAATGGAAATGGCAGTAACAACTGTCCTTTGATTCCTCAGTGGCGCTGAATTTCCAGACAGCCGGGGTGGAGATGGATCTGAATGATGGACTTTTCCAGCAGAACGCCTGTTGCGGCTACATCCTAAAACCCCCCTTCTTGAGAAGTGCAGACACCAACTTCAACCCGGACCAACCTCAGGACACCGCGGGGTATTCTCCGGTCATACTGTCCATACAGGTAAAGGTCTCTGTAGCCAGAAAGTAAAATGGTTCTGCATTCTTTATATGTTAACCCGTCTCTATATATGTAGCATTGCGGAAGTGGACCGTCTTCCAAGGTGCTGTATATATGAGCACTGGCGGTTGTGCTGCGCACTCCCGCCGGAGAGACCAAGCTGGCACTGACAGCTCTGGGTTTCATACTTATGACAGGGATAGCGAAAACCTGCTCTCAATCATGCCTGTGATTGGCTATCACAGTGAACAATCAGTATATCCTGCTCTTTTCTCTGGTTCTCCATGGAGAAAAAAAAAGATACATTGTATCTTTTTCGGCTCCATGCACACGGGGCGTTTTGATAACACTGGTAACGTTAGCTGTGTTTTTTTTAGCGTTTTTGCATCAGCGTTCAGTGGAGTTTTGCGGTGTTTTGCCGCGTTTTCCCACGTTATTACGTGTTTGCATTTTTAAGCATTTTTTTAACCCCCCAAAATTCTTTTGGGTCAAAAAAAGTCCCAAAATGCTGCTTTTTGCCGCATTTTTCTGCGTTAGAGCGTTTTTACAGCTAGAAACCCACTAGTTCAGAGTTTTTTTTCCAGCCACAAAACGCCCCAGCCAAAAAAAACGCTGATTCCAGTCTATGTGTGTATGGACACATAGGATAACATGCTGGGGGGTTTACTGGCTGTAGAAAAAAAATGTCAAAAGCCAAAAACAGCCGCTGTAAAAATATCAAGTGTGCATGAGGACTTAAAAAAAAAAACAAAATACTTGCATTTAAAAAAAAAAAAATATTAAAAAAGATAAAATAGAGCAGGACTTGACCTCAGGGTTGAAGGTCAACGTCGGGTTCACAGACTAGGAGGCAAAGGTCACAGATTTAGAATTTTCTTTTGTCACTTGTGACATCATTGCTTACTACGTGTGAAATTTGCGGATGATCACAGAGGTCACATGGTACAGGGCTATTCATGACAGCCTTGTACCATGCTACAAGCTGTGACCAATCACAACTCGCACAGTATTTCTCAATGGCTGTAAGAATGCAGCCAGAGAGAAGGAGAAATGATTGCTTTTACAGCCTTTATGGGAGTAAAAGCAATCAGTGTAAAAAAAGAAAAAAAAATCTTCATCACCCCCCACAAGTAGTACGGTGTCACTATGTTTTAAAAAAAAACAAAAACATAAATAATAATATGGAAAAAATGTATAACATTTTTTTTTGAAAAATTATAATTTTGGGTTATAAACTAATTTGGATTATTTTGTTTTTACTAAAGAGGTAGATGAATACATTTTAGCTAAGATTTATGAAGAAAGATTATTTATTTGCAAAATTTTATAAGAAAAACCCTTTTTTATTTCAAAATGTTTGGACTTTTTCATTTATATAGCAAAAAAATAAAAATCCCAGCGGTGAATAAATACCACCAAAATAAAGTTTTATCTGTCTCAAAAAAATGCTACAAAATTCGTATGGGTACAGTGTTGCATGACCACGCAATTGTCATTCAAAGTGTGATAGCGCTGAAAGCTGAAAAATTGGCCCGGACTGGAAGGGGGTGAAAGTGTCCGGACTTGAAGTGGTTAAGGCACAACCAGGGGTGGACTGACAACTCATGGGGCCCCCGGGCAATAGGGGATCATGGGGCCCCTGTGTCCTTGCCCAAACTCAAAAAAGCCTATGAAAAAGGTACCAGGGACATCTCATGGGGCCCCTACTGACCCCGGGCCCTCGGGCAGTGCCCGAGTTTCCAAATGGTCAGTCCGCCCCTGGGCACAACAGGCAACGAGGTGTAAACCCCCCACAGTACAATTTCCTCTGATAGACAGACATCTCAGCTAAAAGAGTCCTCAGTGGAAGATTTCACCTCTATTTTTGTTCTGGTCACAGCTCAGAATCTTGGATTTCCCATCACTTTCATTCCTGGTGACAACGGCCACTAGGACAAATAGAAAGGATGTGCATAGGGTTCCTAACCATTCTCTACTCTACGCAAAGCAAAAAAAAGTGTTGGCGTTGGACACACCTTTTGTCCAGGTTCACACTTATGCGTTTTGAGGCGCGTTATGCAGAAACGCAATACAGTCCATTTACCATGATTTCCTATGGGTGGAGTTTACATTTCCGCTTTTTCAACCGGTACAATTTTTGAAAGGGTCAAGGACATTTTTAAACGCAAAACGGTGCGTATGGGAACAATAGACTTACATGGAGACGCTGCAGAAATGCATGTAGTGCGATTTTATTTGTAAAAACATTAATGACCAGATTCTATATAATTTATCTTTTAATATCGTTTTGATAATTCCTCTAAAATGATGTCATTGAATGCAGGTGATTAGTGCTCAGCAGCTGCCTAAGGTGGAGAACAGTAAGGAGGGCTCCATTGTAGATCCTCTGGTAAGAGTGGAGATCTTTGGTGCTCCCATCGACCAAACGAAGCAGGAAACCAAGTATATAGATAACAATGGTGAGTTATGTGGATTCTCGCCACCATCAGGTCATCAATTCATTTCATTCTACTTACTTTACTATCAATTGGCTTGGGCAATAGGGTAATGGTTTTCAGCCAATGGCTTTCCCCTCTTACCCCATGGACCTTTCTGTTTGTTTGTGGGGCTGACCATCACAGCGATGGGCTAATGGTAAGACATGGGCCAGGGCCAATGACTAGGAAGCCATTTGCCACCTGCACAACCATCAGGTCATCAATTCATTTCATTCTACTTACTGTACTGTCAATTGGCTTGGGCAATGTGGTAATGGTTTTCAGCCAATGGCTTTCCTCTCTTACCCCATGGGCCTTTCTATGTGTTTGTGGGGCTGACCATCACAGCGATGGGCTCATAGTAAGACATGGGCCTGGGGCCAATGACTAGGAAGCCATTTGCCACCTGCACAACCATCAGGTCATCAATTCATTTCATTCTACTTACTGTACTATCAATTGGCTTGGGCAATGTGGTAATGGTTTTCAGCCAATGGCTTTCCCCTCTTACCCCATGGGCCTGTTTGTTTGTGGGGCTGACCATCACAGCCATGGGCTAATGGTAAGACATGGGCCAGGGCCAATGACTAGGAAGCCATTTGACACTTGCACAACTATCAGGTCATTCAATTCATTTCATTCTACTTACTGTACTATCAATTGGCTTGGGCAATGTGGTAATGGTTTTCAGCCAATGGCTTTCCTCTCTTACCCCATGGGCCTTTCTATGTGTTTGTGCGGCTGACCATCACAACGATGGGCTCATAGTAAGACATGGGCCAGGGCCAATGACTAGGAAGCCATTTGCCACCTGCACAACCATCAGGTCATCAATTCATTTCATTCTACTTACTGTACTGTCAATTGGCTTGGGCAATGTGGTAATGGTTTTCAGCCAATGGCTTTCCCCTCTTACACCATGGGCCTTTCTGTTTGTTTGTGGGGCTGACCATCACAGTGATGGGCTCATAGTAAGACATGAGCCGGGGCCAATGACTAGAAGCCATTTGCCACCTGTGCAACCATCAGGTCATCAATTCATTTCATTCTACTTACTGTACTATCAATTGGCTTGGGCAGTGTGGTAATGGTTTTCAGCCAATGGCTTTCCCCTCTTACCCCATGGGCCTTTCTATTTGTTTGTGGAGTTGACCGTCACAGCGATGGGCTAATAGTAAGACATGGGCCAGGGCCAATGACTAGGAAGCCATTTGCCACCTGCACAACCATCAGGTCATCAATTTATTTCATTCTACTTACTGTACTATCAATTGGCTTGGGCAATGTGGTAATGGTTTTCAGCCAATGGCTTTCCCCTCTTACCCCATGGGCCTGTTTGTTTGTGGGGCTGACCATCACAGCCATGGGCTAATGGTAAGACATGGGCCAGGGCCAATGACTAGGAAGCCATTTGACACTTACACAACTATCAGGTCATCAATTCATTTAATTCTACTTACTGTACTATCAATTGGCTTGGGCAATGTGGTAATGAATTTCAGCCAATGGCTTTCCCCCCTTACCCCATGGGCCTGTTTGTTTGTGGAGCTGACCATCACAGCGATGGGCTAATAGTAAGACATGGGCCAGGGCCAAGGACTAGGAAGCCATTTGCCACCTTCACCATTGATTTTGGAGGTACAGTGGAACAACGCAAGGGATCATATACTGTACACTGTACAGGCTATTCTTAAGAAGTAAGACTTACAAAAATGTCCTCACAGGCCTGCTTTAATTTCAGGCAGCTAATTATGCATTGTTATTAATACAGGTGTTTATACACCAATCAACCATAACGTTATGACCCCACCTAATACTAAGTAGGTTCCCCTTTTGCTGCCAAAATAGCCCTGACCTGTCAAGGCATGGTGGACTCCAGTAGACCTCTGAAGGTATGCTGTGGTATCTGGCACCAAGCTGTTAGTAGCAGATCCTTTAAGTCCTGTAAGTTGCAGGTGGGGCCTCCATGGATTAGAATTGTTTTTCCAGCACATCCTACAAATGCTCAATGGGATTGAGATCTGGAGGATTTGGAAGCCACGTCAACACCTCAAACTCAATGTTGTGTTCCTCAAACCATTTTTGAACAATTTTTGCACTGTGGCAGGGCTAATTATCCTGCTGAAAGAGGCCACTGCCATCAGGGAATGCTGTTTCCAGGAAGAGGTGTCCTTGGTCACCAACAATGTTTAGGTAGGTGGAACGGTGTCAAGTAAGATCCAGATGGATGGCAGGAGCCAAAGATTCCCAGCAGAACATTGCCCAAAGCATCACACTGCCTCTGCTGGCCTGTCTTCTTACCATACTGCACCCTGGTGCCATCTCTTCCCCAGGTAAGTGACGCACACACATACCTGACCATCCATGATGTGAAAGAAAACATGATTCCTCAGACCTGGCCACCTTCTTCCATTACTCCATGGTCCAGTACTGTTGCCCATTGTAGGAGCTTTTGGCTGTGGACACGGGAGAGCATAGGCACCCTGACCGGTCTGCAGATATACAGCTCCATACACCGCAAACTGAGATGCCAATTCTTTCTGCTTTCAACAC